GTATATTATTTATTGTTCGGGTAAGATTTAAGTGTATACAGGCAATATAATCTAAGACGTAATACAAGTAGTAATACTACAAGATTCTTGCGCTTATATAGATTATTTATTTCTTACGCTAAAAACTTACCAACGTTAAATAGCATATATTGCTGTTGTTTATACGCATGTAGGATTGATATCGTAATGTCAATAAAATACTTTTGTAAGGTCGTTACCTGATGGTCTTTCTTATTCCGATCTGACATAAATTCCTATCTGACATACAACAATACATGATGTTAAGTACAAGTACAATTCTGAGTTTGCTATAACGATCAGCTTTCGGAAACGGGAAATCGGTCAAGCCATTTGCTTATAGCTGCAAGCAGAAGATGTGTTCATGCAACTGTAAAAATGATATTTCAGTTTGAGTTACCAAAGCTATTCCAGCAAATTCTGAGTGAGGCTTGAGTGAGTGAGCATTAGCATTAGAGGTAATAATAAAAATATGTTTGTTTGGAGAGTTGTCATACATGCATACATGTGAACAAATTTTTGTTCAATGGAACACATAATTGGGAATGCAAACCCTTCTAAATACACTGAGAGATACTGTTGATATAGGTTGTGTAACAACCTAAGGTAGTTATACTCTAGTCTGGAGGAAGCCTCAATTGCAATTCTATCATTCATAAAGCCTGCATGCATTATGATGGTATTGGTATAGGAAACACTGGTCACTCGCCATCCACTTGCAGTTGTTACTAGTACTAGATCAGGGCATCCTTCCTTCTAAAATAATGTGTCAGGCATTAATAAACATTTTTCGGGATGCAAGCATTTTTCAATTGGTACGAGTTGTGATCAACCAGTTAAAATTGACAAAATTGTGTCCCGTATTACAAAAATCATGTGGTCCGGCTTATCGAGGTGTTGTAGTGGTGTAGTTTGTAGTTTGTAGTTGTAGTTGTAGTTGTTGCAAACTAAAATATTCTCTCACACAAAAAGTTGTAATATTAATATTTTCACACGATGACTAATATCATCAACTTTTGTTCATTTTATTCCCACGATAACGATACGTAACGTCATTGACAATATGTCAATATGTTATTAACATAAAGTATATTTCCCATAGCCATCATTTGCTGCAATAAGCTTACCTTTTTTCACATAGTTTTGATATTCATTCGCCCTTCATTTCCTAAAATAATTTCCGAATTAACCAACAAATACCCATTTATCGTCTGTGTAGATATTTCGGGGGAGTTTATATCATATACTTGATACTTGATACTTGATACTTGACTTTACCTCACCACCCAAGCTTGAAGAAGTGTATTTATTACATTTTCCCCGTTATTATTATTATTATTATTATTATTATTATTATTATTATTATTATTATTTATTTCGTCATCGTATTTTATAATCCGTCATTTTTTATCAGTGTTGTGTGTCACATGTTGAAAGATCGTCGGGAAATAAAAATTTCCATACACAGTCCTATTATTAATCATTATCTGACTCATAAGTTTGAGCTGTCCAAAAAAATATCACTTCCACTTTATAAAAAGTATAAATAACAACATATCAACCGCTTTTTTGCCACACACCTCTATAATGAAAAGTTTTTTATTTCTTTTTCGCATCCCACTTATTAGTTTGAAAAAAATGTCTCAAGTTCTCGATATATTTACCGTCGATTCTCTGTACATTGTACCATTACTATTTACCGCCTTACTCAATGGCTGTTCATCATCGCTCTCGCTCTCTTCCTCTTCCTCATCAATATTAAACACTCTCTTCAAATGCGCTTGCTCGACGGAGAAACTGCTTGCCACCACACTATTACGAACCCATGCCTCCATAAGCAACTCTTTCCGTCAATTTGATACCCCATCCTTCAACACAATATATTCAACACAAACCATAACCGTCTCTTCCGCGCAGGAAAAAGCTGAGCCAACACGCTGGTGCATATGATAATTTGCCCTTCCGAACCACTCTCTACTCCATAAACTTGCAAACATCGGTTGAAATAAGCCGTGCAGCTCAGAAAGTAAGTTCAATATATCGACGTTTTAATGGTATGCCGAAAAGAATGTGGTTAAACGGTCAGCCACAAAACCAATATGTCATCAAAAAGCAATGATGCACGCAATCTCGACAAACAGGATCTTCACAGAATATACTTACAGATTTCCAAGCAGATCTTGAAGACAGATGCTGCGCAACAAGGTTTGTCTTGGGTTACTGGAAGATAACTTTATCTCATCAGCTATCAATAGTTATTGAAGGCAATATTATTCAGTTGAACCTTATATTGAAGTACTTTTATCAAGTACAATAACAATAGCAGTGGCCATGTAAATGAAGCCATAGGTACTATGCTGCAGGTTTCAGCGCAGAAAAGGGGATTTTATTCCGAGAGTTCGAGGTATTACTTTTCTAAGTATACTGGATCTCTCTGCAGCAATCACCTGATGCATGATGAGGACGCGAAATAACTCTATATTAACAGGGATTGGCACATGTTATAACATTTAATTTATGGCAAAGTGCCTTTGGCCACCACAGTTATGTATGGTCAAAAAAAAAACATTAATCTTGATATTCAGGTAATGTCAATAAGGGCTAGTGATATGGAAAAATTTCTGTATTGAAACTTCAGCTAATCATCTTTTCTTATATATAGGTATGTACCCATACCTGACTGATCCAGTGCAGTGTAAGCATCTAGCAATTGGCTTGATTGGATTTGAGAGACTTGTAAATTAAACTAATTTACTTCATTTTTTTAGCTCACTAGAATGCTAACTATGGACATGGTAATTTACATCTGGAAGGAATTTGCAGTTTTCAAAACTCGTGTATAAGTGCACTAATAAGGGTGTGACCAACTGCACAGTATAACTGTTAGAAAAATATATTGAAATTGTCAAAGCTCGCTCTACTGGCTCAAATCAGAATACTGAATGGTCCAAGGGTAGTTGGCCGCCCATTATAGAATGGTCTAAATTCGATTTTTGCTAGTACATTAATGTTTTATTGTTATATTTATCTCATAACTAGCAATGCTAAGAACCTGCTTCGCAGAAATTATATTAATTATGTGTATTTGTTTAGATTAATTGACTCAAAATGGTTAGAATTTTTTTAAATTATATGTAATTGACATAAATAGAGGAAATTTTGAAATCTATAGCGCTTGTAGGTTTGTTCTAGTATTAAAGGTAATTGCAATTAATATCATATATTGACCAGTGTAATTTACTGTATATTATCTGTATCTTATTAACAGCTATTAAGATCTAATGATTATTAGTCAATTTTATTTTCTCATTATGAAAGATTTAAAAATTTAGTTTGTTTATTCCATGACTTTAATTAAATGGACTATGTAGATGACCTAAGCTTACAACAATTACCCAATTACTGACAAATATTATTTGCAAAAAGTCAAATAACACGAAGAAACTGCAGCAGAAAGAGAATAATATTCCTAAATATTATCCGTTTTGACAAAAAGTACAATGATAAAATATAGATTTGTCTATTCTTGTTGATGCTACTGTAAGTAATTCGGGAAAATTTTTTCTTCCTAAAGCGTCTAAACTATTTTATTTTCTTGGTTGTAGCTAATTCTCGTATTTTTGTCCGTCTTTTCTTTGGTTCTGCGTGATAGTAGTGTTGTATGTCAGATCGGAATAATAAAGACCATCAGGGAACGACTTTATCAATTCTACATGGGTATAAACAACTGCTTTTGTTATAAATATATGCTATTTAACGTTGGCAAGTTTTAGCGTAAGAAATAAATAATCTATATAAGCGCAAGAAACTTGTGGTATTACTACTTGTATTACGTCTTAGATTATATTGCCTGTA